GTACAACAAAGTCTTCACACTATAGAGATTATAGGCATATGATAAACACTACATATATATAGTTCTCTTCTTCTTGTCAAAAATCCACTTAGGCCTATTCAATTACTTTAGAATTTCGGTTGACAAGTCGAACTATTTTCTCTATATTATTATCGTACTAGTATTCTGTGTGTGGTTCACTTATAGTTGTGGCGCAAGTTACCGTAATTCGTTTGGTCTTCTTTCTTCTGAAGATCCTCTGTTCCTTTTGTCAAAGTGTACTCAGGATGATTCAATTACTTTAGAACCACGCTTCGACGGAATAAAATTATCCTTCTTGTCTTTTTTTATACTGTTAGTTTCACTCTAACATATTAAACGTTAGGCCTATCACCTTTGCGGTACTTAACTTCATACAACTATATTCTCTTTGCTATTATCTGTCTATTGTTGTTTGTCTACTGCTTCCCACTCGTCTCACGCTATTTATAACTTTATTACATAGTCGTCTAGCCACTTTCTATATTCTCGACACCAATTAGTTATTAACAAAACCTTCTACAATGGGTCTGCTTTTAACTCTTATCATAACAAAACTTAAAAATAATAGAATATTCACTCACAAATATAAATTAATCACTAATATTTAAACCAAACAGTCTTTTATATCATGACAGATAGTAAGAATCAAATTATAATGCCTAGTTCCTGTAAGAAGACAATAAATTAACAGTTTGATAGGACGTTATCAAAAAATCGTTCTTGCAGAAAAACAGCTTAGACTAATATTTCGACTTCCTAGTAACTCAAGCGATTAAACTCACCTAAGTCAAATTTTCAAACCAGCAGCCAAATGTTCTTTTGGTAACTTAATAAAGCAGTTACACTTTACCATAAACTTTCTAGCTCTACACTGAAGCCAGGCATCATTTGGATATCATTCAACTATGATCATTTTGGATGGTTGTAGAATTTTAACGGGGAGTTCTAAAACGTTCTTGGTTTGACGATGACAATCAACTTGTGAAAGATTTGCCTTTTTCTCCTTGTGTCTAATGTAAAAATAGGAGAATATTCTAAGTGTTGAGTACAAAGAAAGTATATGCTAAATTATTATTGTTCATGTTATCAAAAACCTTGAAAACATAGGATTCAAATGATTTAATCTCAGTTCTTTTTGGACGATATCTAGAATAAGAAGTTATTTGCACAACGAGTTTTATATTTCGTATTTCCAT